AAACTACGACTTACGCGCGCCGTATGTCATATTGCGAGAAAATCGATACATATAGTCATCGCCCATCGGATTTCAAAAAATGTTCATATCACCCTCTAACATGGATTTTTTTTTATACATCAATGCTTACTTATATTATATTGTCTTGTCGAATGTATCACAGATGTTAAATGTGCATCATGACGAGATATTCATTGAAACTAACTAACGAAAAGCTTTAGCGCTTTAGCAAATAAAAATATTCGATGTTTCATTAAATTATTGTTTAAATACCGACGGAATAATTTCTAATAATTCCATTTGTCTTACCATTACTCCTAACACTGAAACTATAGTTATTAGTAATTAAAACAATTGTTGTTAATATTATTTTTCTAAATTTTTGGATTTTGTTTATTGTAAATTGATCATATGAGTCGCAGTAGGTATGTTAAATTATCAAAATAAAGTATAAACTCCAAATATATGGATTGTCAGCTAGATAAAATACAACTATTATATCGATATGTTTTAAACGATTTTATTAAAACGAATCGAGGATTACCCCCCTCCCCCACACACACCTTTACTATATAGATGAAATTTGTAAAGATGTAATATTATATATATATTATGCTTTGAGGCGCACTGCGCCAAATCAGCTTAACTCACAAAAACGTTTAAAATAACATAATACTATATAAAAAAAAAAAATTGGTTCAACCATAAAAAAAGTTAAGTTTAAGATGATATTAGGTAACATATAATTTTTTTGGTATTACCATTTAAATATTTCATATTACCAAAATAGATTAGGTCAAAATATGTTTGCTATATAATAGTACTGTAAAGTGAAATAACAATAATTGATATTTCTTTTATTTTTAGAACTATGATAGTATTTATATCGTTTATCCAAGATGAATGTTTGTTAAAATCATTATATGAATTGTTTGAAAAATAAGTTGGTCGGTGAAATATAATTCAACGAAGTAGTCTAAAGAAGCTTAAAACCTGTAAGAAACTAGCATAAACGGTATAATTATACAATATAATCAGTAAGCACTCTTTTTTTTCATATTGTCTGTCGATAATATTAAATATATTTAGTGGGGAAATGGCTTACAAAAATTAAACTGGTGATTATTATAAATCACATTGAATCTGTTCCACTTACCAGGTATATGTACTTATATTTATTATTAAACGTTCCATTTCTTCATTATTTTTACTTTGCAATTATTTCGGTCATTAAAACATGATTAAAATAAAATCTTAAGACGAAAAAAAAGTCATTATAGGGTTACTTGGTTGGTGCGTCTAAATTTATATTATCGCATTACCGCATTTAAACCTCACAAAATTCCTTGCAAGGTCGCAAACTTGCAACAACACTAAAATAATCATTGAAATATAACAATATTAAAATTTTGTTTTGGAAAATAAAAATAACGTTCAAATAACAAAATATGTGTTGTAGAAATCACAAAATATTTTGGTAAATCCGATAATTATGTGAACATTTTTGCATCACGAAACAATAAAAAAAACAACAACAACAACAACAACCGTTTTCCAATAAGCTGCATAATACGTTAATATAACAACTTTTTGATCTTTTTTTTTTTTAATTATTATTTATTCTGTTCTTAAAAATATCCAAATTTAATTATTTCCGCAGAGTGAAAATATCCAACTAAGAAAATAATATCCAACTCAATAATATAAATTAAATATTTGACGTTTTGGATCATTACAGAGCATGGTTAGAATATATGAAATTACATTTTTTTTTAAACATAATGGCGTTAAGTAAACTTACGATTTTATAAAGATCTGGAAAAATCTTCAAATAACCTCTTCTATAGTTCTAACACTATATTCATAAGTATTATTACATATTTCATATTGTAGCCTGCAATATTAGACTTTTAAATGAAGCTGCAGTGCAAATAAATAAATGATTAATTTATCTCAAGTCAATGCAATATCTCAGTTTCCTGTTTTAAGCTCCCTTGGCCATGTTAAAATATAAATACGACTGGGACGAATTATGTGTGATAAAGACATGCTAGTCTTTTGAAAAAATATTTAAGGTAAGGACTCAGATTTAATCAATCATTAATATTAAATTCTAATGTTTTAACGTAATATGCAATTTACGATTTTATCGAGTAAAAAATTGTTACATAAATACAAAATATATAATTTACTTATATCAATATAATATAGGTGTACACATTCATTGTAAGTTTCAATGCATACATAATTTAATTTAATTTTTACAAGGGTATCACTCTTACAAAATTATATGAAATTACCTACTATAAACTGAATACAATTAATACAGATCATTAGTATATCAACAATTTTAACAACATAAATAGTTTTAATTTAATCATATTATTATAGAATAACAATGCAAAAATGATGTTACTTACATTTCTATTATGGTAACTTGATTTGATATGTATAATATCTTTTATTTATACTGCGAATTTTGATAAATTAATTTTCTTCTTTACATTTTTGATTTTAACCATTTTAATTTTAATCAATTCCCAAAAATATAAATAATACATAGTTTACAGTTTAATTGGTAAAAATATATTTTTTTTAAAACACTTTTAAAGTTAACTGAATTTTAAGTTTAAAATACTTGATAATAAAGTCCGTTTAAATTAATATGTTAAATAATATAAGCCAATTATAAAATTTAAATCAAAAACAAAATAAGTTTCATATTTTTAATAATCATAATAATAAATTAATTATTGTACAATACACTTTATAACTGAGAACAATTAAAACAACAATATATATTATTCATATTATGTGTATTGACTATTGACTTGTTAAATTCGTTGTTTATTTGGTGTCAATAAAAAACTCAAGTTGAAAGTTATACCCAATAAATTGTTTAAATATAGTAATATAACATGTAATACCTTTCAAGAAACATTTATATGTTTAAAATAAATAGTTAACGGTTTAACTTTAACACATCCAACATTAATAAATTTATTTTGATTTGAATGATATAATAAAATATTATAATAATTGAGTTCTATGATTTAAATAAATATAAATTAAACAAATAATTTTATATCGATTATAATTATGTTACATCATTTTATACTATAGAAAAAAAAATATTAAGGCGTCATATTGTAAATTATTATGAGATGTGAACTTCGAATTAATACAATTTATAATACATTTTTCGTATTAATATGAATCAATAAAATTTCAAATTATTTTGATACTACAAGTATTCATTAATTTATTTATGTACACTGACCTTTTGTAAAATTAAATTTTAACATTTTTTTTGTATTAGTTTTAAAATTAATCGAGTGTGATACAAAAATATTAAAATTAAAATTATACGTTCAATTTACACACACGCGTATAATAATACATAGTAAATATCTATGTATAACACTAGCGGTTGTCCTAACCCAGTTAACTGAATTTCACGATTTGAGAAAAACAAATTCATTTTTGTTTTTTTATTCTTAATTAATTTAATTCTCATAAACCGTTTTTAAATTTTTTTTCTTTTATAAATGTTAAAATATTCTTATTTCCATCCATACGCATGTATTTCAATAAGAATATCAACGTCCTTTAGCCATATCCCGCAACAATAAAATTATGATTTGCACGCTCGATGTTAATCGATAAATCGTATCTGTACCACGCGCCATCGCTTTTCAAATTAATTAATTTTTATCAAACAGTAAAATAAGATCTTGACATTGGACAAATTACAAAAATAATAATTTAATTCTAATCTGATCAACTAATGAAAATTAACCACGATAATTTATTCAACGGTAACTGTGACTAATATGGTGTAATGATGTGAAGAGACAAAAATTTGACAGTTGGCCAACAAGGCTCAAAAAAATACGTTCGGTTGTGGCGTTTTAGTTGTATTATTACAGAGAATTATTGCAGGATAATAAAAACAGAGAGTAGAATTAAACCGAAATGAACCAATTTTATAACCACGAAACCTTTAAAATATTGTAGACAGGAACAGAGTTTAAATAACCGGAATTGTAACAGAAACCCATAATTATAAATGAAAAGTATTGAATTTTTCAATAATTTAAATTTTTGGGATCAGTCCAATGTGTGATCTACCGATTAACTGATATATATATGATAAAGCGTTATAGGTAGAACGTGTGATCTACTGAAAACATATCTATATTTTACACTATATGTATAGTGCTATACTTATATAATTATCGATATGATATGGTTTTTACGACTGTATTGTATTTTTAAAATACATCATTTAAACATTCAGTTACCATTTAGCGTTCATACGTGTCATTTCGTTTATTGGTCGATTTTTTCAATTTTTTTTTTTTTATAACTGTTTTGTAACGATTTAAATTTTAAAATGAACTCTACTACAACAATGGGATATTTATATAGAAATATAATTATTGATGAATTGAAATGCGTTGAATATTTAAAAAGTAAAAACCTTTTAAGTAACAACTGTTTGGTTTGTTAAAAAAAAAATGGTGGCGGCCATGCCACCCGGTAAAAACTCAAATGTTTGATGATTTTTTATCAGATTTAAAAAATACTTTAATAGTTAATCACACATTGGATCAGCCATTTATTGGTAGATCACACATTGGACCGGTCCCAAATTTTGTATATAATTCCGTAATATTATTTTCAATTATAAGAAACACTGATAAACTACGTAATATTATTACTGATTATAGTTGTTTAATTCTTGATGTGATATCTTAAAATTTAAATGACTATTTATTTTTTTTATTACGATCTATTTATTATATGAATATTGTATGTAGTTATGTATAAAAAAAATAAGACAAATCTAAAGAATATGTGTTAAAAAATTAATATTTAGAACAGTTAAATACTGGTTTTGACCTTAACCCGTAATTTATATTCTTCAAAAACCGGAACCGGAACCAGAACCTCTTAATGAAATAATTTAGTACCGGAACTAGATCGTAAAAAAAACAAAAGGTACCATTCCGGCAGTCTAGAAATATAAATCCTTCTACCAATATGGGAATAAAAAAAAAATCGCAATGTTATAAATAATAGTCGTAAAAATCACGATTTTCCACTCCGACCGCCTTCGAAATCCTGACATTCGATACTATCCTGCCGTTAACTTCCTCCATGCGTGAGTGACCAGCCCGTGCAAGCCATGCTCGTCGTTGATTTCCGACTTGGCAAGGAATTCGTGATAACATTGAAGCCATTGGATCATTTCATAAGTACTCCTGCACACGAACGGCCATTTATCGCACCGGCGGTAACCGTGTCGCTTGTACACGAAGATTGGTGGAAATAGTGGGAACGGTAAGTGTGGTTCGCCGTGGTGATAGTAGTGATGCCACCACACGTGATGGTGATGATGGTAACCGGGACCGTCGAAACCGTGATCGTCGTCGTCGTCATCGTCCTCGAAGTCATGGTAGTCGTGGTCGAAGCCATGATCGTGGTCGAAGCCGTGGTCGTGGTCGTGGTCAAAGCCGTGGTCGTGGTCGTTGTCGTGATCGTGGTCACCACTACCATCGTCATAGTCATACACGACATTGTAGTCATCGTCGTCCGCGCCACCGTACTCGGGCACGCCGTCGCCATTAACCACCACAAACCGTCGACTCCTTATAAAGTCACCACTGAAATTCCCGGCAGTTCGCCATGGCTTTATATGGTTCGATCCAAAGGCAATATTAACTTCGTTTTCATCACAAACAATGCTCCCGAAGATCGACAAGTAAAGTCCTGCTGTGACAGTCACCATAGCGTAACCTTCCAACTATTAATCGTTAGAAAAAATTAAATGGACGTTAAGAAAATTCGTAAAATTAGATCCCAAATCAAGGTACATGTAAATTTTGCATAAAATTATAATATTATTATAAATATATTTAAATTAAATTTCATACTAACATTATGTATAAGAATAGAGTATGTGAGGAATAAAATTACAGTGTCTACTGTAAATTCAATCGGATAAAATTGAACTTATAAAATAAACTGTCATGAATTTTAACTGCTTGCAAACTTTTATATGATCTAATTACTTAACACGCGGGAGATATTGACCTATCATTATCTTATTTTTTTTTTTAATCTGATAATTAAACAAGCTATTCAATAACAGTTATAATATAAATACCAAAATCAGACATTTCAAAAAAGATAATTATATTTTACACAGAAACATTTTAACTATTATTAGTAATATTTTTAATATTATTATATAATTTTATTTTTTTATTCTTTCAAATAGAATCTACATAAACTCGAAATTGATTTGGACATTTTTAGAGTGGAATTAACAAATTTGAAGATAAATTTACAATTGCCCCTAAATTTATATGCATTTTATATAGATGAACATTAGGTTATAATTGTTAGTGAAATATTTGTTCTACAAATTGTAACAAATTAAATAGTAAGTTAAGCACTGTGATGTGTAAGCTATTGTTTTTCTGAATATTCATCACTTCTATAATATTATTATTATCGTCATATATTTTTAAATTAACTAAAATTTAACCGAATATAACTAAATTAAATAGCCATATAGATACTCTACACCTAGACCTTTAAACGAAAACCGTACTTAGTAGACTGCAGTAATAATATACATGAGAGATCTAAGATAAGTTCAATATTTCAATATTTACAGTTATGATTTATGGTAATAATTAGCTTGTACAAAATGACAATATAATTATTGTAAAATTCAGCAACTCACCATGTTTTTATAAGTCATCGTCGTCACTACAGCAGTTAATTATTGTTATTTGTTCGTTAAAATACTAGGTACTAACAAATTTTAGTCGACGAGTGGCATTTTATATAAAATATTATTATGTTGTATTACCACCGTATTTAATTGATTTTCCATTGAAGTCACAAGGTCACTGTGTAAGATTACTTGAATACTTCCGATAACGCTATTTATAACGATCGTCATCAAATATTTACGTTGTTTCGTCGATTATTTTTCATTTCATTTCCTCATAAAGCCCGGTCACGAATCACTGAATATAGCTGACATAGATTACACATTAATATCATTTTGAGCCTAAACCCGATAAGAGTAGGTTCCGACTTCCGTGTCTTATTCCAAATATTCACAGTGTTGAACGAATTATTTTAGTAAATACATAAATACGCATGCCAAAAGCTTTTTCAATATCGCGTAATCGTGTTTACTTTTTAGTGATTCGACGGAGGACTTATTATCTCTGGAAATATTGGAAATAATTAGTTATATACGTACCTACCATCTGGAAAGATTGTAATTATTTATATATCGGTAAAGCACTTCGATAAGATACTTAGATAAGTATATAAAGTACAAGAATATTAAAATATTTACGATAAAATATAATACTATAATATCTAAAGATTTTTTATAAGTTATTTTTTTTTATTTAACTGGGAAATAATTTATAGAAAACTCATAAGAAAAATATATATTATGCGTTCTAAATTAAGATTCTTGCAAAATATGATATTAAAAAAAATTATTTATTTTGCATATAATATACTTTATGTTCAAAGATTTGATTAAATTAGTTAAAAATGGTAAATTATTTTGTGATTAAAAATTTGTGTTTGCAGATATTATGAACATTATGATAATTTTATTATTATTGTTAGGTATGAATATTATTTTTTTTTTAATAATGTAACATTCATGTTATTTTTTAAAATTGAAAAATAACCTGTACAATTATCTGCATTTAATTTAATTTAATTAATATATTTTATTTTCATCTAATTCTTTGTTTGTGACTTCAATAAATTATTCACTTCTATTAAATTTATCTTTTTCTGATTTTAATTTTAAAAAACTTCATTAAAGGTAAAAACTAAATTTTTTAACTTTGTAACGAAAAAAACTTAGGAAACAGAATGTATGATTTAACAAGATGTAATATTATAATTGTTTTCATGATTATATCATTGATTATAATGAGTTGAATTTTGCATCATATATTTTATTGATTGGTAAATAATATAATATTCATAAACCATATTAATTGTTGACAAATTAGGGCATTTTTGTAAAATAATAAAAACCGATTTATTTTTCGGAGAACTGGGAGTTACAAATACATGAATAATACGACCAAAACACGTACCTGTATTATTACTTTCAAAATTTCTACTTCATTCACTAAGTTATAGTTTTTTATTGAAGTTTTCTAAGTTTTAAAATTTATTTCAAGTCTATCTAGTCTGGTGAACATTTTATGCGCAGTGTTATTTAGCTGACATCTCTGTTTAGTCGCATGCCTATAACAACATTATTTTTTTATCATGTACATCAATGCACATTTTTTATAAACTCAAATCTCCTGCGTCGTATATTATAGTGGATGGTTATTATTAATGCATCAAACGCAGACAATTTATTCAAATCGTTTTTTAATCGTATATTCAAAATCTTTAACGCCTTTTTTTCTCTCATGCATACTGTTATTTTATTTTCTAAGATATTGTTGTAATACATATATAGACACGAAAATAATTTATCATTGAGAACACGAAGATTTAGAGAACATTTATAGTGGTTTTACCTCTACTAACGGAATCACTCGCGTGAAAATGTTTTATGAATATTTTAACATAATTTATATTGAATTGTCTATAGTTTATTGTTGTTAGCTACAATGAGTTTGTCTAAACAATTTTAATTGGAAATAAAAAAAAAACACAATAACAATGGATTGAAATTTAAAATTAACAAAACATGAACGCATATTATTATTGTAGTTAGTTACTACATATATTATTATATAATATAATAAAAGAGAAAATCGCCTATGTACAAAATATATTATTTTAGCCAGAAAGTTTCAGAGTGTTGTAATTGTGTTTGCAACATGCACAGTTGATATATTTTTGAAGATACATTCTTTTGATATTTATTTTTTTAACATAAAACATGAAAATTAATGTACTTCTTCAAAAGTCGAATTTCTTACAATAAATAAGAGAACTCAACAATAACAACTAAACAAGTTCTTAGTTTGAGAATGACAGCATAATAATACGAGTATGTTACAGTAAATAGAAAAATATTATATACCAAACTCACCTTCAGTGATAAAGTACGTATATTTTGAAACTATCCAAAAAAAAAAAAAAAATAAATGCATTAAGTGAATATGACATATTATAAGAGTGTTTTTTATAGGACATAAGTATAGGTAGTTTACTAAACTACAAAAGCACAATGATTGTTATATATTGTTTAATGGATTCATTCTTAGTGTAGGTAAGTCGTATAATCAATTTTCACAGTTAATCGTTAAGCTCAACATTTATTTTTATTCAGAAGTAATATAAGTTAATACTTTTTAAGGCTGACAATGAAAATAACTCAAGGACTTGGATATTTAAAATGCAAAATTCGTAATATACTATAATAAAATTGTTTGCGATAATCGACTAGTTAAGTTGTTAATTAGTGCAAACTTCAAACAAAAGCTATTGATTTAAACAAATTGATTTTTAACTTTAATAGTTTACTTATTGTGTAGAACTTCATACAAAACGGGAGGGTGGTAAAAAGCTATAACCGCGAATATATTCAAAGATAACCGTATTTGAACTACTTGAGTTCACCTACTAATACTACATAATACATTTTGGTATTTACCCAAAGTTTTCCGATCGATTTCAAATACTATCAAACAATTTTAAATATAATTTTGGTAATTTTGTCTATCAAACTAAAGCGAATTGAGTTTTAATAATTAAAATTAATTTTAGTATTTCGTACAAAAATGTTAATTTTCACCTAATGTCACGTATAGCCGTTACATTTTTATATTAAATATAAACTTTAATACGTATAACTAGAAATAATTTTGTGGTATTTTTAATTCAAAATTAACTAGGAGCAGCAATTTTTTATAAACATTGCCTGTGTGTAAACTCTGAAAATATTATTTTAATTGAAATGGCAATATTACCGGTACTTACCTACTATTTATGTATTAGCACTCCTGCACCTAAATTTTGCGTTAACAAAACAGTTTAATATACTTTTTTGATGACATTATAATGTTATATTAATAATATGCATGATATAAATGTTGATGATAACAGATAGATGATGCTTAAACAATAAAGTGCATAAACTATTGATATGAATGTCGGATGGTCATATAAATATATAATAAATATCGGATAATATTGACATAATTAATAACAGAATTAATAAATTCTGAAAATGTTCTACAAATATAAAAATTATTTTTGTGAGTTTAGACTTCTCAATTTTTCTATGTAGACTTTCATATTCTTTTTGGTTTTATACGCGTTTATATTGTAGTACATAAATACAATTAGTTTATTTTTTACGTATTAATTTTAGTATTTTTGAAATAATACTTTAATTTGCTCGAAATGTATTTCAAATTTGGTATGAAAAAATATGTATTATACTTATGTAGTTTATTGGCTTTGATGATTTTTATCAATTTTAGAATAATAATTGTAAACACAAAAAACGTAATATTTAATAAAAATAAATAAAAAACGTTACTTTTTTAGTCAGATTAAAATGGCCAGACAATTATTATATCGCTAGTCCAATTTAATCCGCACAGTTGTTATTTTCGAACTTTTGTACATTTTATTGGTCTTACATCCGTTTATTCATTGTATTTACAATCGTCGTGTATCTCCCATCTAGCTTGTTTAGAGTTAACCAACTGGCAATAGTCTTGACTTCTACTGTATAAATATTACAAGAGACAATCTCCGACGAATGTATATAAAATATATTATTTGTATATACAGGGTGAGCGTGGTCTTTTTGCGGTTTATCCATTTGTTATCGCTGGACTAACGTCTCGGCCCACCCCATGCGTACATTATATCGTATTTCGTATTTCGCACTTTACCCATATTTTCATATCTTTTTAGATTGCCTCTAGCAATTTTTTCTTCCTTTTTTTTTTTTTATAATTTTCATTTTTCTCCATTCTGCCGTTTTCAAAAGTCTCAATACCACTGCTTTTTTCTTTATTTTTATCTCTTTTCATAACAAAGTGATCGTAACCTCGAATTATTATTATTCGTAAAATAGAATGCCACACGCATAAACTATATGCCTAATATCTTCTCGCATTTATCTATATCCGTTGTCTATCTAGACACGTCTAGTTATAGTTTAGTTCCATTTTATGACTTTCTCATTTATTTTTATTTTTATTCATTTTATTTCAGAACATACAATGTACATATTATATGCATACTTCTTACTATTACAATATTGTATTATGTTGATTGTTGAATATAAATAAAAATCGTAATTTAGACAGAAAAAATACAATTTCATTCGCACTAGTTAATGGAACTAATTGATTTAATTATAATTAGAAAACGGTTATATTTTAAATTTAAAATAATAAAAACACTATGCACAGATTTTTTATAAGATTCAGTTATCTATTAATTTATTTCACTAACAGACCGATTAATGTATTAGTTTTATAGTGATGTGTATTTTTTTGTACGTAGTGTGTCTTGCTGTCATCACTTTTAAAGTAGAAAAAATGTTTCAATCTTCATCTTTAAATTGGATTTTAGTACTTCTAATTAGTAACTGTAGGGAGGAAAATATCAAAAGTATTAACTCATAAAATATTAAAATAATTGGAAAAATGTTTTTAATGTGGAAATGGGAATATTTACATGACGTTAGTTTTCAAAAAATCGATTTCGTTATTACAATTTTTACTAATTAGTTATACTAGAATTTTCAAT